CTCCTGCCTCAGCCTCCTGAGCCGCTGAGATTATAGGTGTATACCACCGTGCCCAACAGATTTTAACATTTATAAAGAGTACTGACCAGACCGGGTGCAGTGGCGCATCCCTGTAATCCCAGCAGCTCGGGAGGCTGAGGCAGAAGGATCGAGAGTTCAAAGTCAGCCTCAGCAATGGTGAGGCACTAAGCAACTCTGTAAGACCCTGTCTCTAAATAAAATGCTGRGGATGTGACTTAGTGACCAAGTGCCCCTAAATTCAATCCCTAGTGCTAAAAGAAAAAAAAAAAGTACTATGTACTGACCAGTTATTTTGTCAAATGACCCTAGAGGGCTTGCCTAATATTTCCTCGTGATTAAATTCAGGTGACGCACCTTGGACAGGAATACCCCAGATGTGACGCCGTGCCTTCTCAGTCTACCATATCAGGAGGCCCATGACGTCACTCTCCCTCTCATTATGTGTCATGTTCACTTGAGCACCTGGCTCAGCAGTTTCTACCATGTAAAGGGACTCTTTTACTTGAAAGCATTCTTAAACTACCAAGCCTGGGCCACACCAGAGATCAAACAAACCACATGGCCCCGGGGTCAGCCACAGGCATGGCCAGGTGCTAAAACGCCCCACAGGTGATTCTAACCAGCATTCAGGGGGGGAAATCAAGGGCGAAGATTAGAATCCTGGAAATCGGCAAGGATGCCGTTTCTTGGGGGCTTTCTTTTTCAAAGGGCATCCGGTTCCAGGCACAGATAAATATAGGTGGACTTTGGCATGGACCCACAGTAGGAAAAAGGGAAGGCCTAAAATCCCCTGATTGGGAAAGTCATGGGAGAGCAGAGGGCTGTCCAATCAAAGAGGAGGCAGGAGGAGAGTCCACCGGCTCCGCCAAGCTCCCTTCTCTCCAGACCTCAGAGAAACCTTTGCTGTTCTCAAAGTACACACCGTATAATTTTACTACGATAAGCCTGACGTGAGTGCCCAATTGCCACCAACAGGAAGGGAATCATATACCTTGATATAAATATCCAACCGCACATGCAAAAGATGGACGTTTCCGGGTAGGGTGAAACCAGCAACCCACAGAATCCAGGTCAGAGGTACGTGACCCCGGGAAACAACCCGTCGCCCTCACTTGGTCTTTTGCCCTTAATCTTGATGAAACAGGAAGGTGTGCACATCTCATGTCCTCAGGCTACTGAAGCAAGAAGCTGGGGACCTCAACTTCCCCAGCCCCTCCTGTGGGGCACCGTCTGAAGACATGTCAAAAGAAACACCAATTTCACCCAAATTCACAAGGAGGGAAAACCCAGAGGAGAGCTTTCTCTAAGGCGTCCACATGACTACCAGGCTCTGGCACTGCCTACTGGAGGAACTGCTGCCAGGTTATAATTGGAAAAGAAGAAAAGAGAGCTCTTCCCACTCAGAGGGGCTTGGTTTTGTTGCTGGTGTTTGCTGCAGGACTGGAGATTGAACCCAGGGGTGCTTTACCACTGAGTCACATCCCCAGCCCTTTTCGTTTTTTATTTTGAGACAGGGTCTTGCCAACTTATTTAGGGCCTCGAGAAGTTGCCCAGGCTAGCCTTGAACTTGTGATCCTCCTGCCTCAGCCTCCTGAGTAGCTGGGATCATAGGAGTTTGCCACAAAGTCCAGCCAGAAAGTACTTTAAAAAAATAAATAAATAAACAGTTCAATGGTACAGCTCTTGAATACCATGTGTGAGGCCCTAAGTTCCACCTCCAGTACAAAAATAATAATAATAATAATAATAATTAACTTAATTATCCCTCAATTATTCCGCAGCCAATATCTTCAAGTGACGACATTGGGAGACTCTCCTATGGGGTCTCACTGACAGAGACTGGCACATAATTAAATGCTAGCACATGAGTGAAATAATTCATGTCAAGTGGGATCCACTGGGTCAGGAATGGCTCCCAAAGGTTTCATGAAAGAGGCCAGATTCAGGTTAGGCCTTCGAATGGTCAAGCCTTAGAAAAGCAGAGACCAGAAGAGACATAAGCAAAGGGAACCAGGTGCCAGGCACATTGTGGATGCTGGTTCTGAAGGGAATCTCGGAAATGAGACTGAGGGGTGCTGGGGTGTGGCTCAGTGATAGAGCACTTGTGTAGCACCCTTGAGGCACTGGGTTCAATCCTCAGCACCACATAAAAAAATAAAAATAAATAAAATTTTAAAAATGAGAGTGGGTTTGCATGTTATTTCACGTATTYGTTTCAACCTCCGTAGGGGGTTATTTCAGAAGAGGATGTTAATCCCCAGAAACRTGAAGTAACTTGTCACCATTAGTGGAAGGTCTGGAATTTGAAACTAGGTATGTCTAACGCCCGAGTCCTGGCCATGGTCACCACCACGAGGGGAAAATGAACACAATATATTTAGAAAACAGGAAGAAGCAGGGACAGCTATCACAGAACCGCACAGTTAAGAAACCGGCAAGGGCCAGGCATGGGGGTGCTGGCCTGTAACCCCAGCAACCTGGGAGGCTAAGGCAGGAGGATTTTAAATTCCAGGCCAGCCTGGGCAACAGAGAGAGACCCTGTCTCAAAAAATTAAAGGTCTGAGGGTGTCACTCAGTGGTAGAGCACCCCTGGGTCTGATCGCCAGTRCCAAAAACAAAATAAAATAAAAATAGGGAAGTTAGGTAAGTTTGCTAAAATGAGACCGACCGCATGTCATAAGGTCATGGAAACCATACAGAGAACTTGATCTTGTAATTGATTTCAGAAGAGCCATCGAAGAATCTGAGTAAGGGAGTAACCAAAAGGACACCTTGAGCAAAGACCAATCGGGGTGGTTAATATGGGAGTTTTGAGTTCCTCAACTAAGGAGGTGCACTAACAGGAAAGGGGGCCTCAGGATGTAGGGAGTGTTCGCTGGACTAAGCAGCTCGGGGCTTAAATGCAAGGTGAGTTTAGATTCTCTCTCCAGTCTTTCTCCTCTCCATCTATAAATCAGGTGCAGTGAGAATTAATCAAATGGCTTCTAAAGCTTTACTTTTCAAAGTGTGGTCCTCCAGCCAGCAGCAATGGCATGATCCAAAAGCATTTTAGAAATGCAGAACCTCAGCCCGAGAGCATGGTGGCATGTATCTCTTGTCGAGCTATTCAGGAGGCTGAGACAGGAAGATCCTTTGAGCCCCTGGGTTTGGGGCCAGCCTGGTAAACAGAGCAACACCCCATCTCTATTACAAAAAAGAAAGAAAATCAGAATCTGCATTTAAATGATCCAAAAGCACGTTGAAGTTTGAAAAGCAYTTCTCTAAACTGACTTCCAATCCCAAAAATGAAGCTATTTCACACTCACCTCAATTCTGTCACTTCACAGGAGGGGGAGGGGGCCTGTTCAGCCTTCTTTGTACCCTTTGTACCCTTCTTTGTACCCTGATCCTAACAGCCTCTCTCCGGGTTGCCCACACCAGGCAGCCTTCCTAGGAAACACCAATGAGGCGATGCTGCCACCTTGTGGCCATGATGTGCAAGTGCCCTTAACTCCATTTTCATTAGCCCAGGGGGAGGGTTGGAAGGGGGATGAAGTCCAGTCCCAGGTGCGATAAGAGAATCACAACTGCACRCAATGACTGCCAGTAACTGTCAGAGATTGAGTTCAGCCTGCATCCGAGAGCAACGTCACATTTAAAAGGCAGTTTTTATAATATACAATAATGTGGTATTAGGGGAAAACTTGGATTCCCAGCCAGGTTCTGCCTTTGTAACATTAAAAATCACTGTGTGACAGCTGAACACAGTGTGGCTCAGCCTATACTTCCAGCAACTTGGGAGACCAAGGCAGAAGGATTGCAAATTYGAGGCCAGCCTCAGCAACTTAGTGAGACTGTCTTAAAATAAAATTTTTTAAAAAGAATGGGGGATGTAGCTTAGTGGTGGAGCACTTCCTGGTTTCAATCCCCAGCATCACCCCACACATAAAGAAAAGCATGGTGACAGGCATTTTCAGTCACCCAGCCCGCCCTGAACTCTTCCAGTAAACAGGTAATTTTCCAAGGAAACTACCTTTTCCTGTGACAGCTCCTTTTCTTCCTGAACCAAACAATGTACGCCCACCAACACTAGTCCTACTCCGTTGCCCCCAAATAAATCTAATAYCTTTTCACACAGCAAAGCTTTGAATACCTGCAAACAACAACCATGCACCAACCATGGCTTTCTCTGAGCCATTTTCCAAATGACATACAGCAAGTGAACCCTGGGAGTGTTCCAACCAGGCCAGCCAGGCACACGAATACCTGTTTCCACACTGCACCCGTATTTAGAAAGTCACACACCACCTCAGCRGATTTGGGAGGAGTGATTTTTTCCTACTTGGCTGTTTTAGTTGCCCCTTGCCTGCATGGGTTTATACTTCTCTTCTGGTCCTGAGGATTGAACCCCAGGGGCGCTTAACCACTGAGCCACACATCCAGGCCTTTTTAATTTTTTTTTTTATTTGGAGACAGGGTCTTGCTAAGTTGCTTAGAGCCTCTCRAAGTTGCTGAGGCTGGCCTTGACTTGTGATCCTCCTTCCTCAGCCTCCAGAGCCGCTAGGATTACAGGTGTGTCCTGCCTGCCTAGCTCTCCTTCTTATTTAGTTTTATTTATTTATTTTACCTTTTTCTTTGACCAGGTCTGAGACAGTTCTCCCCTCTGGCTCCTGCCTCGAGCCACCCGGTGGGGCAGCGAGGTTTACACAGACTAGCAGAAGAGAGAGCACACCAGGGAGTGGCCTTTTATTGGGGAACAAGAAATTCAGGGGAAAATTCCATCCAATGAAAGTCGAGGGGGACATCATTCCAAGGTCAGGGTCAGTGATTGGCCTCAGGGTCAGTGGTCAGTCACACCCCCACACAGACAGGCTCTCGCACCTAGAGAGGGTGGGGATAAAGCTCTGACACAGTTTGGCCAAAACGCCTCACACCCAATCAGGGAGGTGCCCAATCACGTGYGAGAATGGCTTCCCACATATTCCCCCATTTTTTTCTTAAAAATCAGGCGGTGGTTCACTCTTTTTGCATTCTTGTTCCGAAGACTCGCCATCCTATAATTACAACACAAAAGAGAATTAACAGCGAAGAGAACAATCCAATAATGTACCAGGCCGAGTGTTTAAGAATATTTCCAGGGTTAAATCCATTTAACTCCTTCAATATTTGGTTAGCCAAAGAAGAAGGATCCGAAAAATCAGCTCTATTATTTTGAATGTCTTGGATATGGTGATGAAGTTCCAAAAGATCCAAGCTATTATTATTATTTTGCCAAATACCTAACAAATGGTTTTTAACCTTCTCCCAATCCCAGAGAGAAGCATTGTACTTGGCAGCTGTAACACACACATATTATTTAGTTTTATTTTTTAAGGGATATTTATCAGCCCCTGGGCACGGAAACAACAAAGAGGAAGTGGACCTGGTCCCTGACCACACAGACCTCAGGCCATGGAGAGAACCCAATTCAAAGCCAGATGCCTACAGTTCAGTGCCAAATATCAGGATAGAGGTAAATGCTGCATTTTCGCATTCATTTTATTAATCCMTTGTGAAAAACCTTCCACTCCTGATTTTCTTGGTTCTTCCTTTCAAGCTCAAAGTGTAMAAAAAGAGACAGAGGGAGAGAGACTGTAAGTGTTCCAGATGGTCCTTTGCACAGTCACAATTAGACTRAGCATTTCTTTGTGGCTAATGAGTGTGTCTTGGACTCCCACTTTGTTCTGAATATGCTGGCTCTCCTCTAAGGACATTTGGGTATGCGGCAGCATTTTAAAGAAAATCTAGTAAGTCAGGAAACCTGTTTTAATGTTGTGTCCTTGAGACTGACCGACAGCATTTAAGCTAACCAGATAACTTCCCTGTACTTTATTTTATGTATGTATGTATGTATATATGTTCTGGGAGTTGAGCCCATAGGTGCTTCATCACGGAGCCACATCCACAGTCCTTTTTATTTTTTATTTTGAGATGGAGTCTCGCTAAGTTGCTCAGACCTCCCTGCACCTTAACTTCTGCTTTGTGAAGGGGAACACGTCTCCATAGCTCTGCAGATTGCAGGAGCTGCTCAGAGACGGCTTCAATCCTTGCTCTGCTCGGTATCCAACATCTAGCAAATACCAGGTTYACATCAGGCGCTCCAGCCTTTACTGATTAACGTCTGAGTAACAGCAACATGAAGCSCGGAGTCGGTCAGCAAAGATTCTTGAACGCTGGCCAACTGCAGGAATGAATGGGGAAACCAAATGGCCAAAGGAGAGCGGCCTCTGCTCCCTRCTCTCACCTGCCTTCTTCCAGGGAGGGGACCTTTAAAAGTCAGACTCGGGGCTRGGGTGGTAGCTCAGTGGCACAACGCTTGCCTAGCACATGTGAGGCCCTGGGTTCGATCCCCAGCACCACATAAAAACTAAATAAACAAAATAAATGTATTGTGTCCATCTACAACTAAAAAAAAATTTTTTTAAAAGTCAGACTCTTTGGACACAACAATGTTCCCAAGATAGGCCATAAGGAGTTGTCAGTGTGTATGTGTGTGTGTGTGTGTGTGTGTGTGTGTGTATGTGTGTTTTTTCTAGAGAGTGAACCCAGTGGTGTTCAACAGCTGAGCTCCATCCCCAGCATTTTTTATTTTTTTATTTTGAGACAGGGTCTTGCTAAGTTGCCCAGGCTGGCCTTGAACTCGTAATCCTCCTGCCTCAGCCTCCTGAGTAGCTGAGATTACAAATGTGTACCACCATGTCCAGCAAAAGTTATCAATATAACGAAGAGAAAAGTCCATTTGTCTTACTGGTGTTTTATTGTTTTTTGTTTTAATGTTTATTTCTTGGTACATGAGATTGAATCCAGGGGCACTCAACTACTGAGCCACATCCCCAGCCCTTTTGTACATATCATTCAGAGACAGTCTTGTTAAGTTGCTTAGGGCCTCGCTAAATTGGTGAGGCTGGCTTGGAACTGGATCCTCCTGTCTCAGCCTCCTGAGTCKCCAGGATTACAGACCCGCACGACTGCRCCCAGATTATGGGTGCTTTATATCGATGAACCTGAAGGACCCTCAGCTCCCTCCCATGGTACACCCACCCCAAGTCCATGGAGGGGAAAACCATACTGAGACAACTGACAGGGAGCCAGGGCTTGCTGGGACAGGGTAAACAGAGGGAGGGGACCTGGAGGAAGGTCTGAGGAGCTCCATGACCCCACAGTGACTTCAGCACAGACTGATGGTCAGGTCCACGAAGGGAGCAGATGTCCCTGCCAGGCCCCACGCCTACCTATGCACATTTCTCAATAAGGTTCTTTCCTTCTACTGAATTGCATGTCCACACACCCTCCAAGGGCCTAGGTTACGGAAGGATCGATCTCTCCATTCAACAAATATTTGTGGAGTGGAGCGCCAGGCCCTGCGGGATTTCCCTGAGTCCTGAGAATACCAAAATGAGCCATGGACAGCCGCTGCCCTGGGAGACTCCCCAGTCGGATTAGCTCCAGACTCCACCCTCCTGACGCTCCTCTGCCCCATCCCCCTCTCTGCTCCCCACCAGCCCAAATTCTGCCCCACACCAGGAGACCAGCTCCCGTGCCACCGGAACAGGGTCATTCTGTCTCCCGTGAACTTCTGCCGTCTCTGAAAGTTGACTCCACTTAAACCTCTAGGTTTTATGAAGCCTATGTTATCCCCTTGTTTAGACTTGACCCCCTGAAAACAAAAACCACTTCTAGAATTTTCTAGAAAGAAGCCACACCAGTGGTTTGTATCAGGTCAAGCCCGAGCCTTGGATTCTAGGACAGTTTTCACTGACTAATCAACTCCTCAGTTGATTAGGCCAAGATGATTTGAAAACTGAGGGGGAAGGAATGATCGACCAAACATCAAAGGGAATTTGACCCGTGCCTTGGGTCTTCCCTCCTCTTGGGATCCAATGTCATCCCACCATCTCACTTCTAAGTGGGGGGCTTCCAGGTAGGACCTCCTTGTTGTTTATTCCTTTCGCCTCTAAAATACCACCAGGCATTCACGCTGCATCTCTCCTCCTTCTCTGACACATGCCTAAAGTCTCCAGAACAGACACCAAGTTTGTGAGTTGCTAAAGGTTCCACAACCGTCACAGACTGGATTGTGAATGACCCCCAAAGGTCCGTGCGTTAAAGGCTTGATCAGCCTGTGGCCCTCTGAGGAGGTGGTGAACCCCTAGGAAGTGGAGCCCCCAGGAAAACAGTTAGGTTGCCGGGTACAGTGGAGCAGGCCTGTCATCCCAGTGGCTAAGGAGGCTGAGGCAGGAGGATCGCGAGTTCAAAGCCAGCCTTAGCAACTGAGTGAGGCCCTAAACAACTCAGAGAGAACCTGTCTCCATAAAATATTAAAAAGGGTTGAGGAGGCTGGGGTTGTGGCCCAGCGGTAGAGCACTGGCCTAGCACGCTTGAAGCCCTGGGTTCGATCTTCAGCACCACCTAAAAATAAACAAATAAAATAAAGGCATTCTGTCCATCGACAACTACCCAAAAATAAATAAATAAATAAAATAAAATAAAGGATTGAGTCCAACTACAATTTTAAAAAATAAAAAAAACGGCTGAGGATGCGGCTCAGGAGTTAAGTGCCTCTGGGTTAATCCCCAGTACCAAGAAAGAAAAGAATGAAGTGAGGTCACTGGGAGTATGGCCTTGAAGGGGACATTGAGATCCTGGCTTCTTCCTGGCTGCCAGGAGGTGAGCAGGCYCCTCCACAGGCCCCAAAGCCACAGGAACAACTAGCCATGAACTGTAGCCTTGAAAACCAGGAGCCAAAATAAACCTTCCTCCTTAGAAGCCGATTATTTCAGGCCTTTCATCACCGTCATGCAAAGTGGACTATCACAATGACTCTTACTGTAAGTATCATGAACTTTCTAATTTTGCCCTGAAGCAGCATCCAAACAAGGTGGGTAGCCAGGAGCCCCAGCAGCCTGGGGCTGAAAGGCTCCTTCCCACCTGGGATTCCTGTTTCTCCAGYCCTCTGGGACCTGAAGCCGGTTCCCTCTCCTTTAGACTGGAGCAGCTAAGCCCCAGCCATCTTCCTGATGAACAGCGAGGCTGGTCCTGCCCACTGCTCCCGGGCAGCATTCTGGGCAAAGGAGAACTAACTGCTTCTTCTGGGTCCTGATCACCTTCCCCGGCTATAGAATAGTAAGAWTGGTAAACAGAGGACCGGCAACTTCCCAGGCAAGCCACGACCGCTGCCGATCCTTTGCCAGGAACAGAAATGAGAAGAACAAGAGAAAACAGACGTGCCCTCCTCTCTGGTCAACCCTTAGTTCCCGCTTTGTCACTAGAGACAGTGGCTGAAAGGTATAAGGAAATTTGAATAAGAAAAAAGTCTTGAAGATATCAGAGCACCCGGTGGGGTGGGCAGGTAAGGAGGAGGACCAGAAGGAACAGGTATTGCTGCCAAGTTATCAGTCACTTATGTGCTTAAGAATGCTGCATTTCTTTTGTTTGACGAGTTTTACCTCCCAGAGTCCCATAAAGCACCTGGTCTGGTCTGTTATCTAACCACAAGGGCAGCAGAGCCTTTCCTGTTCTTACCCTCCCAAGGGAACACCARCCTGGGACTGAGGTGCTGACCACCACCCTGAGTGCTGCGCCTGGGCCGTCCCAAGAAATTGGGAACCTCTGACGGGGGGAAGTAGCTTCCAGCACCACCCACAGCCACCATGAAGGTTCTGATCTTGACCCTCCTGTTTCTGCCACTACTGCTGATGTCCATGGTCTCTAGCAACCCCAACTCAGGTAAATAAGATTGATTTTCTATGAAGGGGGGAGAAAGGGAGCAGAAAACGGGTTAAAACAGGCCACACATGTGTTAAAATGTAGCTCCTTTTGCTACGAAGATATTGTAAGGCCAGGGGCTGTGGCAGGCACCTGTAATGTCACTACTCGGAGGCTGAGGCAGGAGGACTTTAAGTTTTGAAGCTAACGTGGGCACCTTAGCGAGAAGTGCTAGGGGTGTAGTTCGGTGGTAAAGCACCTCTGGATTCAATATCAAGTACAAAAAAAAAAAAAAAAAAGATACTGTTCTCTCTCTCTCTCTCTCTCTCTCTCACACACACACACACACACACACACACACTAGCTCAACCAAGATTTCCCCTTCTCCCCTCCAACTCCTTTTCCAGAAGAGTAATAAATTTCCCCAGGGCCAAACTATGTGGCAGAGGTGACCGGATGTGAAGGTAAGTGTACGCTCACAGAAGGTAAGGAAGTCCCGTGTTCCTTATACTGCCCTGGAGATGCCACCGACAATTTTTAATGGTATTTAACGGTACTGTGGTAAAGYAGAAAACTGCGACTGCCAGGCAGAACCCACAAGTTCTGACCGTACCAAGCCCTATAACAGCTCACCTTCTGGGAAGCAGAGCTCTGGTGAGGCAGTCCTGAATCTGCTCCAGTTCTCACCATAGCCAAAGTGGCTCAGCCCTGTGCACAGCGGAGAGCTTGTCCCCTTGTGTGTGTCTCCTCCAGAGCACCATCCCATCCCAGGGCTTCTTGAAGTGCCATGGCTTGTACTGTATTTGGCATTCCTCAGCCTGGGCTCCACTCCGGACCTGCTTTTCCAGCCCTGAATCTCTACTCACTCACCAAGACTCTCTGCTCCACCCAGACTCCCTGCTGTTCCCAAAACAGGTTCTGCTGTTTTCCTCCTCCAGATCCAAAGCCATCTCCTCCCCCAAGCCTCCCTCGATTCCTCCAAGACAGATAGGGTGCTCCCCTCACGGAGCATGCTCAGCCCTAACTTGACTCTCTTTTTGCATTGATCATATTCTGCCTGTATTGAACGTGCTCATGCACCCTCCATCCCCTGCCCCTGCCTTCTAACTGTAACCTCCCTGGTGGCACAAATGGGCCATGTCCCTCACATTATCCAGCACAGGACACAGTAAATATTAGCTAAGTCCTCAGGTTTCCAAGTGCAAAATATTGCTCCTTTGAGATTCTCGATACCAGAGTTTGATAGCAGCTCTATTGACATTTGGGGCTGAACAACTCTTTGTTGTGGGGGGCTGTTCTTTGTATTGTAATGTGGCATCTACCCATAGACCTCTTCCCTCCCCAACACGCTCCAGTTAAGAAATCTAAAAAAATGCCAGGCTGAGTCAAGAGGACCGAAAATTCAAAGCCAGCCTCAGCAACAGCAAGCCGCTAAGCAACTCAGTGAGACCCTGTCTCTAAAAATTCAAACTAGGGCTGGGGATGTGGCTCAGTGGTTGAGTGCCCCTGAGATCAATTCCCGGTATTCCCCTCCCCCTAAAAAAAGAAAGCTAAAAATACTTCCAGACATTGCTAAATGTTTCCTGGGGCAGCGTGGGAGGGGGGGCGTGGAGGGGGGGGCGTTGACACTCCCAGTGGAGAACCACAGCTGTATTCCAATAGTTCTTAAACCTGGTCACATGTTTAGATTCAGCATTTGGGTTAGGAGAACCCAGATCCAAATACCAACTCTACCACTCTCTTTCCAACTCTCCACAAGTCATTTAAGTGCTTTGAGTCTCAGTGTTACCATATTAAAACACATAAAATAACCAGGTGCAGTGGTGCGGGCCTAAAATACCAGCAACTGGGGAGGCTGAGGCAGGAGGATCACAAGCTCAAAGCCAGCCTCAGCAACTTGGCAAGACCCTGTCTCAAAATAAAAATATAAAAAGGGCTGGGATGTGGCTCAGTGGTTAAGCACCCCTGGGTTCAATCCCCAGTACCAAATATAACGATAATAATAAAACACATCAAATAACATTTCTCACACGGACCTTCGAAGATTAAATGATCTACAACATTCATCTAGAAAGAGGTTGTTAGCACAGAAGAACCAGGCTGGACACAAACTTCACCTATCATTTCAGCCTTTTATTCAGGAACGATGGGCCCACTTTCCAGGTGGAAAATAAGTCACTGAACAAAGGAGGGGACTGGGCTTCTATAGGTTCTACTGAGAGGTGAGTTAGTTAATGAATGTGTCAGTTTGGGCACTCAGGAATTTGGGGTCTGTTTTACTGAGTGAAATGGGAGGGGGTTTGGGGTCAGCAGTCAGTATCTGGGATTTACTTACTGGAATGGATGGAGGGCCTGGGGTCACTGGTTGGTATCCGGAAAGGATTTGTTTAGCGAAGGATCAATGCTCTGGACACCTCCTCCCCAGGGTTTGTTTAAACACCAGGAAAGAATGGACTAGGGAAGGATCGACACTCTCCATGTATGGCTTTCTGTCTCTCTCCCCTTTTCCCGGGCGTCACTGTTTGGGGGGTTTGTCAGTTTCCATATCTAATAGAGGTCAATAAACGGACCAAGTGCAATTCGTAAAGCAGTTCCTAACACACAATGAACTGGGGAAGGCTCTCTGTGCCACCAAGTGCGGCAATCACAAATCACGCCATGGACGGAGGCTGGGCTCCAGATTTGCTTCCAGCCAAGCAATTTTGCAATCCTGCCAAAGTCTGAGCCAATTCATAATGGAAGGAATGACACCTCTCACTGTCCAAAACAATTCTCAAAACAAAATCTGATCTTACTTTATCTTTTTTTTTTTTTTTTTTTTTTTTTGGAGACTGGGGATTGAACTTAATAACTGAGCCACATCCCAGGCCTTTTTCTAAACTTTGTATGTTTTAGACAGGGTCTCACTAAGTTGCGTAGGGCCTTACTAAGTTGCTGAGGCTGGCTTTGAACTCCTGATCCTCCTGCCTTAGCCTCCCCAGCTGCTGGGATTCTAAGTATGCACCACCGCGCCTGGCTTTACTTTACCTTTGAAAATAACTACATCTGTGCTTTTCAATATGCTTTTCCCAGCAGAGAGGGAAGGAAAAAAATGTGAGAGTATTAGGAAATAAATTACTTATAATAACAGATTATTTACTTCTTGTAATATTACTTATTTATAAAATTGCTTATAATAATACCTCACATGTATTAAGCACTCTGTGTTGCCTGGCTCAGTGTGGCTCACGTCTGTAATCCCAGCTATTTGGGAGGCTGAGACTTAGGAAGCCAGCCTGGGCAGCTTAGACAGGCTCTGCTTCAAAATAAAAATAAAAAGGGCTGAGGTTGTAGCTCAGTGGTAAAGCACCCTAGGGTTCAATCCTCAGTACCACACACATGCGCGCGCATTAATTCACTTTGTCCTCAGAGATCTAATGAATTTTTTTCCTTTCATTTYTCATACTTTCAAAACTGTAAAAATAGATTTCCAGTATATCCTTCATCCACTTTTTTTAAAATATTTTTTTAGTTATACATGGACACAATATCTTCATTTTGTTTATTTATTTTTGTGTGGAGCTGAGGAACGAACCTAGTACCTCACATGTGCGAGGCAAGTGCTCCACCACAGAGCCACAACCCCAGCCCCCCCCCAACCACTTTTTTCAAATAACTTCTTATATAACCATAATACTATTATAAAAATAGGAGATTGGCACTGCTATGATAATGTTAACTAATTCACATTTAAATTTTTGTTAATTATCCCACGTATGTCCTTTTTCTAGTTCAGAGTTTGATTCAAGATCCTACACGGAATAAAAGTGCTCTGTCTCCTTGGTATCCTCCAATCTAGGGTAGTTTCCCAGTCCTTCCTTCTTTCATACCTTGATAATAATAATAATAATTATTATTATTATTTTATTTTATTTTTATTGGTACTAGGGATTGAACCCACTGAGCCACATCCCCAGCCCTTTTTATTTTTTATTTTGAAATAAGGTCTCACTAAATTACTGAGGCTGCTCTCTAACTTCCAATCCTCCAGACTCAGCCTCCCAAGTCACTGGGATCACAGGTGTGCACCCAGCCCTTGAGAGTATTTTGAAGAATACTGGGCAGGTATTTTGCAAAATGTCTCCAGTTGGGTTCATCCAATGCTTCCTCATGACTAAGTTCAGGTTATTCATTTGGGGCATGTGTCAGCTTTTCATCACTGTGATCAAAATACCTGACAAGAACAATTAGAGGAGGAAAAGTTTATTTGGGGCTCACAGTTTCAGAAGTCTCAGCCCATGGCTGGCCAACTCCATTGCTCCCAGTCTGAGATGAAACGGAACATCGTGGTGGAAGGGTATAGTGGGGGAAAGCTGTGAGCCTATGACAGCCAGGAAGAGGGGGGACAGAGGAAGAGGAGCCAGGGACAAGATATAGCCCAAAGCCACAGTGACTGACTGCCTCCAGTACTGACGGTTATCACTCAGTACTCAGTCGTCTATTCAAATTAGTAATCTACTGATGAGGTTCAGATCTCATACTCTAATCACGTCACCTCTCAACATTCCTGCACTGCCTGACACGTGAGTTTCTGAGACGACACTCAAATCCAAATCATAACAGGGCAAAAATACCACAGAAGGGATGTGTCCTTCTCAGTCCGCCACAGAAGGAGACTCAGCATGCGACCATCTCCCGTTGCTAGTGATGTTAATCGGTTAAGGTTGTGTCTGCTAGTTTTCTCCACTGTAAAGTTACAGTTTTCCCCCTTGTAATTAATAAGTGTCCTGTGGAGAGATACTTGAAGACTGGGCAAATATCCTACTCCTTATCATATTACTTTTACCCAATCAATAATTTTTAAAATTCATTGATGACTCTTACCTACAACGATGATTACTGTGGTGTTAACCACATAGCGATTTTCCATTTCCTTCATTCCTTCTACATTTAGTCATTGGAATTCTACTGTAAGAAAAAGCACCGGGCACAGTGGAGCACACCTGTGATCCCAGGGAGCAGAGACTCAGGAGGCTGAGGCAAGAGGGTCACAAGTTCAAGGCCAGCCTCAGCAACTTAGCAAGACCCTGTCTCAAAATAAAAAGTAAGAAAAGGACTGAGGATGTAGCTCAGTGGAAAAGCACCCCTGGGTTCAATCCCCAGTACAAGAAAGAAAAAGAGAGAGAAGCTATTCCTCCTCCTTTTACTGATTGATTCAATTATCTATTTCCACCAGAATGGACTCATGGATATTTATGGGTTATAATCCATTACTATCATTATTTATTATGTTATTCATATTATACCTGAATTGGCTACTGGGGCTTCTTCAAGATGACTTTTGTGATCTTTTAGTATCCCCATTATTTTTTGAGCAGTTCCTTGCTTTCTGACACTACAATATATTCTAGGCTCATCTTGTACTTTCTTACCCCAGCCCTGAAATCAGTCACTTCTACAGGGAACCCAGGTTCTTTTCATGGGAAAATGCTATTTTACAAATAATGGGCAATACATACAACCTTTGCTAGTGGCTGCCATTACTTCTAGGCTCTCTAATGGACAGAGCTGGGAAATAACAACACTAATGTATGACATTTTACAAATCAGGTAAACGAGGCATAAATGAGTTAAGTTGGCTAAAATCACAAAGCAAATTTATAGTAGAACTGGGAAACCAAAATAGTAATAGATGTACCGCAACTCCTAACAAGTAACTTTTGTTGTTGTACTGTGGATTGAACCCAGGGGCACTTAACCGCTGAGATAAGTCCCTAACCCTTTTCTTAACTTTAATATTTTTTTTTTACTATCTCCATATTACTTCCTGAGCCCTATAAATTCCAAGAATATATTTTTACTTTTTTTTTTTAATTTTGAGAGGATCTTTCTAAATTGCTGAATTGGCCTCAAATTTGTGATACTTCCACCTCAGCCTCCCAAATTTCCAGGATTACAGGTGTGTACCACAACTAACAAGTAACTTTTTTACAAATAAATACCTTTTAACAAAAAGCCCCATACCTAATGTTCCAGCATAGACACCATTTTTGAAAAATAACTAGAAGTCCACAGTAATAATCACAATAATAACCACCATGTACTGAAGGCCTGGCTGCACTCACAGTACCTCCTATATTCCTCAGAACTCTGCGAAATGGAGACTATTCTTCTCATTTTACTCAAGGGAAATCGAGAATCAAGGAAGCAGAGGGTCTTTTGTCTAGTTAAGTGATGAAGCCAGTCGCTAACCCCAGGTCTATCTGGATATAAAGGCTATATTTATTCCACGTATCATGGTTTCCCAAAACTAATTTTAGGTGAAACATAAATTCACAAATTTTTTACCTCAGTAATTACCTCATTAAGTTGTCTTAGTGGATATTAGAAAAAGATCTAAGCATGGATCAAGCTGTAACTTCACAGATAATATCACACAGAATGAGACTGTTTTGTAAAATAAATTTAAAGGAAATATATGAAATAGATAATAGTTGAGGTGGTATAAATTATAGAAAAAAATCATAAATCCCAGTGGCTCAGGAGGCTAAGGCAGGAGGATTGCAAGTTCAAAGCCAGCCTCAGCAAATTAACAAGGCCCAAATTAACAAATTAACAAGAGAAAGAGAAAATCATAAAGATAGTCCCCAAGTGCCTGAGGTTTGGAAGACATAATACGACAATTCCAAGCAACTTCATTTTCAGCTGCATGAGACTAGCTTTCATGTAGGGTCATGATAATAACAACAGACTAAGGATCTTGGACCTGGGTTTAACATTACCTTTGTGAACTTGGGCATTTTGTTTGCTGTCATTGGGGCTCAGTTTCCTCATCCAAAAATAAAAAGAAATAGTGATTTAGTTCATTATTATAGCCCTTTGAAAGCAATTTGATGAAAATGCCAAGAACCATAAGGCGAGCATAATGGCTCACAATGGCAATCCCAGCTACTCAGGAGGCTGAGGCAGGAGGATCACAAGTTTCAGGCCAGACCTAGCAACTTAAAGAGGCCCTGAGCAACTTACCAAGACTCTGTTTCTAAATAAATAAATAAATGGGGCTGGGGATGTAGCTCAATGCATGTAGCCCCATCCAAGTACTCCCACGTTCCATCCCAAGTACAGAAAGAAAGAAAGAAGAAACAAGAACTGTTCTTAAATTTCCACTAGTATTTCCACTTTGGGAACTCTCTTCCAATGAGAGAGATTTTTATTCTCTTTCCCAAGAAGATAATCCAAAATTTAGAAAACGTCGTAAAAATGAAAAACTTTTGTCAGTGTCTAAACATAAAACAACCTAAAGATTCAGCAATGGGAAAACAGTTAAATAATTTGGAAAACAAATACTTGTTGCAGTCATTAAAAATATCTATTATGGGGCTGGGGTTGTGGCTCCGTGGGAGRGCACTTGTCTGCCCTGTGTGAGGTACTGGGTTCGATTCTCAGCAGTGCATATAAAATAAAGGTCCATCAACAACTAAAAACATAAATAAATTCTAAAAATATATCYATTATGAAGATGAAATAGCATCGTGCTTTATGAAGGGGGGTAGAAATCCGTTGGTGTACTATGATCATCCCTACAGAATGAAAACCATCTATAGATCACACACCAAAATGCCAACAGTTAGGAAGAACAGTGAGTTTTTTTTTGTCATATCTCAAAACTTTCTCCAATACAGTCGTATTATATTTAGGATGAAAATCCTCCTCAATKAAGGGATTCAACTAAACGGTCTCTAAGATTCTTTCTTGCTCTTATATTGTGTGGGGTTTTTTGGTGGATTGAGGAGTAGAGGTCATGCCCAAGTGAAATATGAGGAAAGGGTAGCCAGCCGAGGCTACGCCTGTTTACTTTTACAACTCTCTAAACAGCATGAGAACATTTGAAAACTAGCACTTGGGGAAATGATGTAACACCCTCCATCTGTGTAGCAGAAAGGGCACAAGTCTGGGAAATAGGAACCTGAATTGGACCAGATGATCTCTAAGAGCCCTCTCCAAACTAAATTGTCCAGCCACTCATTTGAACAAACGTTTACCAAATGCCTGCCGTGTGCCAGGAGCAAAGTAGCTGAATGACTACYGAACTGTTGGTTCTAAGTCTAGTGATGGAGAAAGATTTTGTTTTAGGATCAGCATAATAAAATATCATAGACGTGGTGGCAGCTTAGACAACAGAAATTGATATTCTCACAGTTCTGGAGGTTGGAAATCCAAGGTCAGAGGTTCTACAGGTTTGGTCTCTTCTACTTGGCCTGCAAATGGTTGCTGTCTTAGTTTGGGCTGCTATGACAAATCACCACAGGTTGAGTGGCTTATCAACAACAGGAGTTTATTCCGCAGTTCTGGAGGCAGGACTTCTGAGATCAGAGTGTCAGTATGATTAGCTTCTGACAAGGGTCCTCTTCCAGGTTGCAGAGAGTTAGCTTCTTGTGTCTTCACATGACAGAAAGAGTGAGAAAACCCTCTGGGTTCCCTTTTATAAGGGCACTAATCCCATTCATGAGGGCTGTACCTTCATGACCTAATTATTTTCCAAAGACTTCACTTCCTGATACACTGAGTATTGAGATGTCAACATACGCACTTCACGGGGACATGAACATTCAGTTCATCATAGCCACCTTCTTACCGGATCCTTGCAGGGCCATTCCGCTGTGCACACACACTCCTGGGGTCTTTTCGGAGTGTCCAAATCTTATCTTCTTAAAAGGACATGGCTCAGTGAGTTAGGGCCCACCAAACAATCTTATTTTAACTTAATCACCTCTTTAAGGACCCCCATCTCTAAAAAAACAGACATTCAGAGATACTGGAAGTTATGAGTCTAAATCCCAGTGACTTGGGAGACTGAGACAGGAGGATCAAGAGTTCAAAGCCAGCCTTAGCAACAGTGAGGTACTAAGCAATTCAGTGAGATCCTGTCTCTAAATAAATACAAAATAGGGCTGGGGATGTGGCTCAGTGGTCGAGTGCCCCTGAGTTCAGTCCCCAGTACCCACCCCCCAAAAAGACAAAGGCAACAGGAAATATTGCTGTACAGAGTGCACTCTGCAGAGGACGTATCCTCTGGGCTCGGCACCTTATTGTTTTGATTCCCTTCGCTAGCCCCTCCTCTGAGAGCTGGTGAGAATCTCAAGTCTATAAGCCATTATCCTTGATTCTCAGAAAACTATTTTAAAGCCAGGTGTAGTGGCGCAAGCCCATAGTCCCAGCCATTTGGGAGACTAAGGCAGGAGGACTGCTTGAGTCCAGGAGTTCAAAGTCAACCTGGGCAACACAGTAAGACCCTGTCTCAAAAATATATAAATTTTAAAGCTGAGCACAGCGTTACACGCCTGTAATCCCAGTAGCTCAGGAGGCTGAGGCAGGAGGATGGTGAGTTCAAAGCCAGCCTCAGCAAATTTTCAAGGCCCTAAGCAATTTAGCAAGACCCTGTCTCTCAATAAAACATAAAACAAAAAGCGCTGGGGATGTCATTCAGTGGTTAAGCGCCCCTAGGTTCAGTCCCCAGTAGCAAAACAAAAAAAGATAGATAGACAGATAGATAGATATTATCACAATAAAATCAGCTTGGATAGAGGCCAAAATCGGAGTGTATTTGTTCCAGAAGAACACATGCAAATACCATCCTTTTATAGTTTGAACTGGAATTGTGAATCCAAACACAGTAGTTTGGAGGTCAGATGGGAATCTTGGTTAATGGAATAATGTGATCCTTGCTTTCACTCCTGAAGTCATGAGGATTTGAACGTAGGGGACAAGGAGAGGGTGTACAGTCCTGATAACCCCTGACCTTTGTCCTCTCTTCCATCAGAGTCCTTTCTTCCTTCACCAACCTTCAGCTCAGCTTTTCTCTAAGCCAGATTTTAAAACTCTTATTCTTTATCCATTTTAAACACTCCTCTCTCTTGAAGAACCCTAGATCCCCAGAGCAAATAAAGAGATGAAACGGAAATTCTTGACCTAGGTAGCACAATAGGGGGTTTCTGTAGGCCCCTTCCCTTTCCGGTGCCTGGAAGTGACCTGTTTCCTTCCAACAGGGGTCGCCAGAGGCCACAGGGACCAACGCCAGGCTTCTGGGAGGAGGCTCCTGAAAAGCAGCCAAGAATGTGAGTGCAAAGGTCAGTAACTCAGCATGGACACAGCCCTGGCACCACAGTGACCCCAGCTCTCTCCCTGGAGCCCCTCTGAGAGCAGGGCAGATGTTCTCCAAGCTGACCTCAGCATCCAAAACACGCAGCACCCTTGCTGGCTTGCTTTCTGAGCTTCGGGCAAGAACTGGACTCCTCCAAGGCCCAGCAGGGAGCTRGCCAAAATTCAGGCCATCCTCTTCCCCTTCCTCTTTACCCCMAAAAAATCTAGGACTGTCTTCCAAAAGGACTGTCACATTTTCCTGGCTTTCCAAAAGCATCCTAGATCCTATTTTCAGCCTCACTGAACTCACAAGAAAAAAATGAAAACAGAGGTAAAATGATTTGCCCAAGGTATAGCAGCCCTCCAAAGATAATGCCTACGTGCATGAATGATTCTGTCAAAATAAACCCAACTATTATGTATAACTATAATGCACTAATTAAAAAAAAAAAAAAGATATTGCCAGGCTCAGTGATGCACGCTTGTAATCCCAGTGACTTGGGAGGCTGAGGCAGGAGGATCACAAATTCAAAGTTAGCCTCAGCCATTTAGTGAGGCCCTAARCAACTCAATGAGACCCTGTCTCTAAATAAGATATTAAAAAGATCTGGGGATATGGCTCAGTGGTTAAGCACCCCTGGATTCAGTCCCTAGTACAAAAAAAGAGATAATGCCCAGATCTTACTGTTCATTCTGTGATTTTCCCCAATGCTATCTCCCTCTAAACCAAATCTTTAGAGGTCAGTAAAACAGTTCAGAAATCCTGGTGTTCAAATAGCTGGAGGTTTCCAGCTGTTCTGCGTTGACCCCTCTCCCACCCCCACTGCAGTGTACAAAAGGAAACGGGAGGCCCGGAAGATGGCCTGCCCGGCTCCCTWCTTTCCAACGCACCTACCCTCCTGTCTGAGCAGCAGCCTGTTATTTCAGATTGGTTCCTGAGAGCCTCTAAGAAAAAACCCATGACMGCGGCCGGGCTGCCAAAGAAGCGATGTCCCTGTGATCATTTTACAGTCAGCGTGAAGAAAACCAGTAAGTTTCAACAAACTGGCCTTCCTTAAACCAAAGTCACTCATGGGTGTCACAAGGGATGGAGCAGAGGCTGAGAACAGAAGAGGAGTGGAGGCCAGRAAAAGAGGAGTGGAGGCCAGGGAAAGCACGCGACTGGGCCCTGGGTCCTCAATGCCGACCTGTGAAGAAAGAGGAAGACAGGGAAAGCAGGGTACAGCCACCGGGTCCTGGAAAGGGTGAGCCAGATTCCTAGGCTTTAGGCCTTCGATGCTCATCGAAGTGGAGGGAGAAGGGGTATTAGGATCTGATCATTGATTTCTGAAGATGACACCCATGTTAGGGTCAACAGAATACGACTCCTCCCCTGCCTAGGAAGGCTGGTTTGGGTTTGGTTAGTTTGGGGGATGAGATCTTGTCTTGTTGCTCAGACACACAATCTCCTGCCTCAGCCTCCCTAGTGGCCAGGATTACAGTGTTGTGCCACCACACGAAACTAGTCTAGTAGTGTTAATAATTATCAAGAATGGGATAAATCTGGATCCTTATACTCTCTTGATGGAAGTGAATTTGGCAGTACCTATAAAAATTTTAAAGGAGTATACCTTCTGACCAGTAATATCTTTTAAAGATATTAAAGAAATTATTAAAGATACATATATAAACCAGATATAGTGGCACAGGACTGTAATCCTGGCTACTTGGGAGACTGAAGCAGGAGGCTCACAAGTTCAAGGTCAGCCTCAGCAATTTAGTGAGATCTTATCTCAAAATAAAAAATAAAAAGGGGTGGAGGTGTATCTCAGTGGTAGAGCACCCCCGGGTTGAATCCCCAGCACCAAAAAACAAAACAAAGCAAAAAAAAAAAAAAAAAGATATATGTACAAAAACTATAGTAGTATTTTTCTTGAAAAATAAATGGGGGTAAATGTTCATCAAATAAAATTGGGCAAATCTGCAGCTGTCAAAAATAATGAAGTAAATTATAATATATTTACTAGAAAGAAATTCATGATATATTAAGTAAAAAAATAAGTTTAAGTTGATTTGAGGGGCTGGGGTTGTGGCTCAGAGTAGAGCACTCACCTACCATGTRTGAGGTACCAGGTTCRACCTTCAGCACCACATAAAAATAAAATAAAGATAACTAAACCTATAACTAAAAAATGAATATTTAAAAAAMTGTGAATTTGAAAGACCAATTCATAAGGATATAGGAGAATATATTCATGACTGTGAGGTAAGGAAGGATTTTGTAAACAGAATACAAAATGTACAAACCACAAAGGAAGAGATTGATAAATCTGATTTCATTGAAATTTAAAATTTTTAATTATCAAAATAATAAAATGACAAGCTACAGAGTTGGAGATGATATCTGCAACATATATAACCCACAGAGGATTCGTACTGCCAGGTGCCATGGAGCACACCTGTAATCCCAGTGACTCAGGAGGCTGAGGCAGGAGGATTGCAAGTTCAAGGCCAGCCTCAGCAACTTATCAAGGTTATAAGCAATTTAGTAAGACCTTGTCTCTAAATTAAACAAAAAGAAGAAAGAAAGAAAACAAAACAAAAAAGATTACTATTTAGGGGCTGGGGATGTGGCTCAAGCGGTAGCGCGCTAGCCTAGCGTGCATGCGGCCCGGGTTCTATCCTCAGCACCACATACAAAGATGTTGTGTCTGCCGAGAACTAAGAAAAAATAAATAAATGTTAAAAAAAAAAATTCTCTCTCTCTCTGTCCGACACCCTCTCTCTCTCTCTCTTAAAAAAAAAAAAGATTAGTATTTAGTACTGAGAATACATAAAACATTCTCACAAATCAACAAGAAGAAGGCAGGTAATACAATGGATAGGTTAAAAGAGTTAAACAGTCACTTCTCAGATAAGGAAATCCAAATAGCTAATAAACATGTGAAATGACACTCAAACTTATTATTGGAAAAATGTAAATTAAATTCCAAACAAGATTATCACTGTTTCATCAGCAAATTGGCAAAAACTTTAAAGTCTGACAAGTTTAAGTGTTGCCAGAGAGTAGAGCAAAGAAACTCTCAGATGCTGCTAATGGGAGTGTAAGTCGGTAAATCACTTTGAAAAACATTGATGGTTATTTTCTAAACTTTAAACTATATGGCCAAGCAATTTCACTCTCAGGTATATCCTCAAAAGTACACCAGGAGACGTGAATGACAATTTCATAGCAGCATTGCCATAACTACTCTAAACTGGAAACTGACCAAAGTCCACTGACAGTAGAATGAATAGGTAAGTCATAATACATTAGAATGTTATGTGTGCACACGCTTACACACACATCGGTGTGAATGTACAATCCCTAACAATATAAATAAATCTTGCCTCCATAATGTTGAAGGAAGAAAACAAGACACGGGGAGTAAGTACAGTATGTTTTTGTGWACTGTCTTTATTTTACTTTATTTTGGTAATGGAGATTGAATCCAGGGGCATTTAACCACTGAGCCACACCCTCAGCCCTTTAATGTTTTATTTAGAGACAGGGTCTCGCTAAGTTGCTTAGGGCCTCACTAAGTTGATAAGGCTGCCTTTGAACTCCYAATCCTCCTGCTTCAGCCTCCCAAGCTGCTGGGATGACAGGTGTGTGCCACTGTGGGAGACCAACCTCACACATGACTGAGTCACACTYCCCGGCTGGGTGCTGAGGCGCTCAGTGGAAGAAATGTGGCAGAGCTTTCCCCACCCTTCTTGGGTCCGAGGGTCAGTGTCTCATGCATGGATGTGTCTTGCTACAGCCCCAGGGGTGAAGCTACGCTCACCTGTTCCTTTGTAATATAACCCCTTGCCCTGTTTAAGATAGAATCTTCCATGGAAGATTACTGTGCCCTTGGGTGTGGCCTACCCAGTCAACCTGCTGACAGTGGACATCATGAAGATAGACTCAGCCCCTTGAAACCTGACCCCTTGCTTCATTTACATAGCTTCTCCTCAATAAAAGGGGTCAGCGCGAGCTCTCTCTCTTTCTGCAGACCTTTAAGGTCAGAGGAGCCGTCACAGCCACCCCAAAGAAAAAGGTATTGTGTCTCTTGTGTGGTTATTTTGCGCAGCCCAGTTTAACTGGAGTGACCCCTGAGCCTTTTAGTCTCGAGAACAGAAACCCGGCACCCACCATGCCCAGCCATCACGAACCGTCTTATTCCATTTGGACTGCTGTAACCAAATACCATAGATGGGATGGTTATAAACAACAGAAATTTATTTCTCACAGTTCTGGAGATTGGGAAGCCCAAGATCAAGGTGTTAGTAGATTCAGGGTCTGCTGAGGGCCCACTTTCTGCTTTATAGATGATGGCTCCTAGCTGTGTCCTCACATGGCAGAAGGGACTAACCAGCTCTCTCGGCCTCTTTTATAAGGGTACTAATCCCATTTATGAGAGTTCTGCCTCTATACATAACTTTACGAATTTCTACACATGCATAATATTTTTTATAATAAAATATTTGTTCAAGGTGAAGGGCAAAGCAATACATATGGCATAATTTTTTATTTTTTTAAACTATTGTGTTTATTAAAAGGTTTGGGAAAATATTTGACAAACTTTTAATGATGGTTAGCTCTAAGGAGGAGGGTGTAGTGTTGAGGTTATAGGAAGCCTTTTGCTTTTTGCTGGATATATTTTTTTCATTTAAAATGTTTCCACTGTATGATTCTTACTCTTATAATTTTAAAAGTACTCATAATCCAGGTGCACACACCTGTAATCCCAGCAGCTTGGGAGGCTGAGGCAGGAGGACCTTGAGTTCAAAGACAGCTTCAGCAACTTAGCAAGGCACTTAGCAACTCAGCGAGACCCTGTCTCTAAATAAAATATTAAAGAGGGCTGGGGATGTGGCTAAGTGGTTAAGCACCCCTGGGTTCAATTCTCAGTATCAAAAAAAAAAAAAAGCACTCATAAAAATTCAATTTTAGGGCTGGGGTTGTGGCTCAGTGGTAACGCGCTTGCCTAGCATGCGAGAGGCAGTGGGTTCGATTCTCAGCACCACATACAAATAAATAAAATAAATGTCCATCAWCAACTAAAAAAATAAATTAATAAATGTTATTATTTGTACCCTAGGACACCGAAGGCACCACAAGAAGTCAAACAAGCATTTCAAAGCCTGCCGGCAATTTCTCCAACGATGTCAATTAGAAAGCTTTGCTCTGCCCTTGTAAGAGCTCTGAGATGAGAGTCTTCTCTCCACATTCAAATTCTCAGCCCAAAAGGCAGTGGACACAAAGCATGTTCTTATTCTTCCCCACTCCCTGTCCCCCCACCTCCACCATCATKCCAGTCCTATCAGATGGCACTTTTTCCAACATCATGGATTATTGCTCCCTCTAGTGCAGCCTCCTCTTGCCAGTCTTTTTCTGTGCCCTCCCTTACCTGGGCTTCAGCTTAACTATGTGAAAGGATCTAGGAAACCCCACTCTCCTTGCTGGTCTCACTTTCCATTAAATACCACCTGGGAAGTAGCAAACAGAAATCAATAAATGTTTTAAAATGTACTAGGTCAAAATCATTTCTTCTAAATGGGGTCTGACAACTCACATTGAATCCAGATGACTCACTTTACCCTGTTCACGCCCACCCAACCCGGATTCTCCACCTACTTCTCCCTGCCCATGACCCTCAATCTTTCTCCACTGCCCAACTTTTTATTCTTTCACTCATTCAACAAACCTTTCTGAAGTAAGAGTAGGTGGAGCAAAGCAGGTATAGCCATGAATCAGACATTGTCTTATTAAGGAACAGTGTAGGTTAAAAAAAGTCACAGTTTCCTAGCATATAGGCTGCCTTCAGTATTTATGATTGCTATCGTCATCATCAATAGCCATTGTATTCTGTGGGTTTCTAGAAGGATGGTGTGGAGGATCTCCARTGCCATTCAAAAGAGCTTCAAGTTGTAAAAATGGGAGGACCTCATGGGGTTTTCTTAGTAAGGAAGTGAAATCACTATAAAAAGATTAAACTGGTGACCACTTTTAAGAATGAAGAAAGAGGGAAAATGTATTACAAGTATAGAGACTGCCTCCCCCTTTAGCTCTTTCCTCAAACATCGGGGGGGGGGGGKATCAAGGAACACTCATCCAGAATCTGGTTTCTATCACCCCAGATGAAACAGAAGACTAAATTGGGATGCTACGCTTGCCTTATGAGAAAGTACATTTCAACTGGGTATTGAGTGGGGTGGGGCTCTATTTATGACACAAGAGGGCAAGCCCCTCCCTCTGGTAAGACAGTGCTGGGCACACAGCTTCTTCCTATTCCTAATCCCTCCCACCCAAAGTAGAAGGCACAAAGTGTATCACTTGGCCCAGGAGTGGGGAGCCTGCAGGGATCCACCCCCTAGCCAGATGCCTTAAAACGAAAGACCGGGGATGCCAGCATGAAGGGCAATGGCATCATGACAGATCGGTGAAGAGGGCGGCCTGGGGTTGGGGGAGCCAGGAGGATGAAACCTGGAAGATCAGCATCTCCCATGAGGGAAATAACAACAGTGGAACCAGGTTCTAAGTCAGTATCCATGTCAGACTGGGAACCTGAGCCACACCAGAAACCTATAACCCAGCCAGAGCCCTCAGCCAACTCAGGATTGAAACCTCAGCACGAATCCAATACCCAACAGGAGTTTGCATCACAGCAAAGACCCCTCACCCAGCAGGAGCCCCTTGCCCCAAATGAAGCTGAATTCCAGCAAGAAACTAGAGCCCAACAGAAATCTGCTTTGCACCTGAAATTTCTTACACTACAGAAATCACCCTCCACCCAAAAGGTGTACGCCAAACAACAGGAAGCTGCTTCTCAGCAAGGACATGGGCCAGGACAAGCGTGTACAACTCAACAGGAACCAGAATTGAGAGACAGAGATGTAGCCCAGTCAGGATCTAGACCATCTCTAGCTCAACAAGATGCAGAATTAACACCTACCACCCAGGCTATGCCTGGACTCAAAAAGAGACCATCTGTCCAGGCTGAATTTACATCCCAAGAAAGAACTGAACAATCAGACTACACAGCCCAGCAAGTACCTCCAACCCAGCAAACCAAATCCAGGAAGGGATTTTTGACTGAGTGGAAATTTCTAACAAGACTGTACGAAGTCACTACACAGCAAGTAACTCAAGAACAGAAGACATTTTTTGAATGCCTCACAGATTGTGACTTAGAATCAAATGGGAGGCCATCTTCAGAGACAGATCCGCTAAGTATGAGGGATGGAACAAGCACCCCAGAAATGAAACCAGCCTTCAAAAAGATACCTGATTATGATTATGAAGCCATGTCAGGATACAATGGGACACCATTACATGGAAAGAAAACCAGTGCCCAGAATCACAGGCACTACCAGGACACAGGTGAGTCAAACTTAGATCTGGAGCCTCTCAGGGTCAGTCATTCATTTATTTAAGAAATACTAAGAATTTACCATATGCCAGATTAGCTCAGCTCATCCTTCAACAATTCTATGAGATAAAGCTCAGTTATCCCCATTTTATGAAGATCAACATTCTCATCTTAATCATAAGGAAAGATCTTGTACAAGATGCTACAGTTAGGAAGCCCCAAGCCCAAGATTTGAGCCAGGGTCTGACTTTCTCACCTGCACAGAGCTGCCTCCCTAGGGAGGATTTGGGGTAAATCAAATAGAGGTAAGAAAGAGTCATCTCCCTCCCAGTATTCATCCATCCATCCACAAAAACTGACCAGAGAGCCAGCTCTGGGGCAGAAACTGCTATAAGCACCAGTAAACAAGGGTGACTGTGGACCTTACCCTCCTGAATTTCCATGCAGTCTAGGCCCAACAACCAGGCATTCATGACCTCAGTGGGACTGACCTCTGCTGCCAGGGAGGACTTGCTCTCCTTCCAGCTACCTCTATAGGGTTCAGCCAGGCTGAATGGCCCYGAGGCTGAGTTCTCAAGAAGGAGGAACCTGGGAGAGAAAGACCATGGCCACCAGYTTCCCTGGCAAGGGCAAGGAATAATGGAAAGAAAGCTGGGGAACAGTATCAGCAAGTATTGGGCGCAAAACTTTTTGGAGCTCCTCGGAAGCAGACAATAGTGACTCCCKGATGCAGGCTCCAGCTCTAGAGCTCGGGCCCTCATCTTCCTCCCCTTTAGGCTCAAAACCCAGCGGTGGAGAAGGGGGGATGCAAATTTTATCCAGGGAATTGGGGGTTACTTGTTRAGATATCATCGGGTGGGGAGGAATGCAGCCCTAATCCTTAAACTGAGGGCACGTTGGCCATGGTCTGGGGCAGAGGGGCTGAGCCGAGCCTCTCAGAGCTGAGAATTAGGTATACTTTGGAGGGAAGAGASGCAGCATGCAAATAAGTGGTCTGAGGCCTGCTTTTTCCAGGGCGAAGGATAAAAGTCTCTCTTGGCCTCCAGATCCCTGTGCCACGCCACGCTTGCTGACTAGGCTGCTTCTCTATAGGCGCCCGTGGCCGTTGGCCACGTGCACTTGAGCAAGCCTCGTGCCTCCTGTTTCCCACCTTTTCCTAGGGAGGCGTGCTCCTCCTACTTCCCTTCCTCTCAGGGACTCAACCCCTTGYCTTAAGTGGTGTGCGTGCTCCAAGTACTCGACCTTCCTCCTCCCCTCCATTCTTCCGGGGGAGGGGGGAGGAAGAGGGCAAGGAAAAAAAAAAAAGAGCGAGAAAGAGAGAAATACTAGGACTAGGAGACAGAGGAGGGAAGGAGGGGCTTCTTCCTCAACAGCTCTCAGGCACAACCACGCCTCCAGTGCGSGCCCTGCCTGGGTTTTGAGTTGCCGAAGGACCTGCCCCCCCCCACCTCACCCCCAGGAGGAGGCGCAGCCGTGCCGGGTCTCCCCCATCCTCCGGCGGACAGGCTGGGCCGCATTCTAAGGATCCCTCTTTAGGAAGGTGAGTGGGATAGCGAGACTGAGCATCAGCACGTGTGAAAATCGGGGTTTCCCTGTTGGGGGTGAGCCCTCCAGGGTCTTCGCTAGTCCGGAGCGAAGGACACTATGACGCCTCCAGGGCTGCATTTTTGTTTGCTGCGGGCCCTTTAAGGCGTACGAGGAGGCGGGGTCGGGCCCTCTTCGCTAGAGGTTAGGGGCGTGTCCTGGCAGTGGAGAGCGACCGCGATTGCTCAGAGGGCGGGACCCAAAGAGCAGCAAGCCCGGGATTGGTTGGTATGGGGGCCCGGCGGTGGTGTGTAGCGAGGATTGACCCTCGGGGCGGGTCCTGGCAGCTAGTATTGGGTCCGGCTTGGGAATCACAGAGAATTGATGGAGTCATCCGAGGAGACCTCGAAGAATGGCAAAGAGGGGTCGAAGAGCCACAATCGCCGGCGGTGGCGAAAAGACAAAGGCAGAGGTGAGCTCGCGGGCACCGACCGTAGCCCGGAAAGAACCTCACACCCTACGGGGCTCTCGGGACCGAGTAGACAGAACCACCGCCACGAGAGTTGGGGGAACCACGGACTGGCCCATTGCCGCCTTGCGTCGGGGCGGACGACCCACTATGAGAAGGGGAGAGGTGAGAGTGGAATGTCCCACTCAGGCGTAGAGACTACCGGGCGCCCTACTGCCGTCTTGGGCGCAGAGTCCGGAATGCGAGTCTCTTGGACCTCGGTTCCCGTGTGACCTAGGGCAACCGCTGTCCTTAGTGTTTCTGCCTGGAAAATGGTTCAAGCGCTGGTTTTCAGGTCACCAGCACTCTTGAGAAGATAAAGGGTAAGGGGTCTAGCAGCTGTTACCCAAAGAGAAAGTTTAGGGGTGAGTCAGGGAAAGGGTGTCATCATTGGAAATGTGGGGCGGGGGGGCAGTTGAGCTCATCAAAGCCCCATTCTCCCACCCTCAGTCCATCCATTCGTCCATTCATTGTCGGTCCACCTGGTCATCCCAGCTACACTGGGGCCTAACCTCCCAGCGCCCACCATTTCTAGGACTAGGGTCTCTAGTTTGGATTTGGACCTTCATGCCCTCCCTAAGGAGAAGGAGGGAGGGCTGTAGCATTGGGTTCTCTAGATCTCTAGAGGCTGGAGAAAACAGACCAATGGAGATGCTAAAAGCCTCAGGCAAGGGCATTAAGCCCTGGCTCAGCTGAGTCTTTTAACAATCTCTATGAGGATCTGTGGGAAGTTCCTAAGCAAGAAAGAAACTGACATGGTTCTTCAGCCCCAGGGACCTCAAACTGTCATGCTCCCTGCCTGCATTAGCCAAGGATAGAACTGCAGTTGGCTCCAGTGTACACACACACACACACACACACACACACACACACACACGCAGCTCAGACAGGCTGAGAGTTCAGACTGGAGTCTCAGGACATTCACTCTCCCACAAGACACAGGAGCCTCATAAGCAAGACAGACACATACCCAGAGGCAATACAGATTATGGGTAACAACCAGGGTGTTGGAGTACTTGCCTAGTGTGTGTCTGAGGCCCTGGGTTCCATCCCCAGCACTGCAAAAACAACCACCTGAGTATTGGAGACCTGGCTCCTCGTTCTGAGAGTTGTGACATATTGGGCAACAGCCTTTTTCCTGAGCTCTAAGATGAGCATCACCATCAGAGTGCCTGACTTGTAGGACTGTTGTGAGGTTCAAATGAGTGTATAACATTTGGCACTCAGCAAGCCCTCRGGAGACACGGAGGTGACTGCTACTGTTAGTCCCCATTAGCCAGTGAGCTCTCTAAGAGTAGGCTTCTTTCTGTCTGCCTTGTTTGCCCTATAATGCCAGAGCCTGGAATGTCAGGCACATAGGTACTCAAATATTTATTGGATTAATAAGTGAAGGCATGCATGAACTGTAATACAAGGATATTAATAATCATGCTTACCTTAGGGTTGTCTTGAGGAGTCAGAAAGAATCTGCTTGGGCTCAGTCAGTCCTGTCACAGACCCATGAACCTACGTACACACAAAGGCTCATTCCCTCGAGCTCTAAGATTTGCCTGTCATTTCTGGAGGCCCTCCCTGGCGCCAGGCCTCAGATGGATGAATCAGACCCCACCCCTACCCTTGGGTGTCTGGGCTGGCTGGAGTAGTTCTTATTATCAGTTTGATCTTGTCAGTAATTAGATGAGGCTAGTGTCATTATAATCAACCCATTTCTCAAATGACAACACCTGATTGTACTTACCTGGCCAGTGAAGGCAACAAGATGGCTGCTCTCAGTCTTTTCAGCCCAGAAGTGTGTGAGTTGGTGATTGCTGCTGTTGTGTATCCGACCCCAAAATTCCCAGTCGCACAGATTCATTCAACAGACATTCACTGAACACCTAGTGGTACCACACCTGGGCTCTTAGTGACCAGGACAGACTCCCAGTRGAGCTATAGACAGAGATGTAATCAAATAAGATCATTATTATAAATTGTGACAGATAAAGAAAAAATCCTGAGAAATATGAAACAGGGAGGCTTCCAAAGGAGGTGACATTGGACCCAAGGATGGGCAGCACTAACTGCTGGCAAGTGGGGGCAGGGWGCACAGAGGAGATAGCATGGACAAAGACCTTGAGGTTCCAGGCAGCAGCACATGACAGCACAGAGGAATCACAGAGAGGGGGGAGGATGGCAACAGGAAACTGGGCAGGCAGGGAAAGCAGGGAGGATGGTACCTGGTTGAAAGGCCATGTCCAGGATTTGGAGCTTTATCCTGAGAGCAAGGCATGAGGCATCGAAGGGTTGAGAGCATGTGGCCAGATTTATGTTTTAGAAAGATCCTCTGGTTGCTATGTGGAGAACAAATGGAAACTCACACAGAGGTTTACARTCATTCAGATGAGGATGCACTGGCGTGGACCAAGGAGACAGTAGARGTGGGAGGGCCAGGTTATAGCAGTAGAGTGAATAGGACTGGGTGACGAATTGGATGGGGGTGGGAAATAGCCAAGATCACACCCTGGGTTTCTGCTTGAGCAAATCAGAAGTCTGTTCTCATCACACACACGAGGAGACTAGGATCCACCCAAATGTGTATATTCATTCATTCATACACAAACATGCTCACACAAGCCGAGAGGAATAGAGATACACTCACAGGCTAAGAAATGCACGTGGGCCATGACACTCGTATACAGACACACAAAGCTCAGACATACCAAGAAACGTGAAAAAATGCCAACACATACATGTGGACAGCTGGCCATGACACACACCTACAAATATATACATGTACATGTGAACCCCCAAGACAGAAGGAGCAACACAGAGACTCAGAAACACAAGCAGAAACCATAGCACTGTCCAGGAGCTGCCCTTTGCTGGCCTGTGACCCTCACCTGTTTTCTCATCTGCCAAAGGGATAATAATGGCCCACCTCATGGGTTGTAGGGAGGGTGGCACCAGTTACTTCCAGGAGAGCATGTGAAGAAAACAGTGCTGCCCAGTTTGCCCTTTCAGGCAGATACTCAGGGAGGGTCACAACCCCCACATCCCCCACACCCATCTCATTCCAGGATCCTAGGCCTTCCCCTGGCAGGCTCCAGACCCCACCTATCCTCATCCTGTTACTCCCTTACCACTGTCCTTCTCACCCCGATCTATCCCCAGGGCCAAAGTCCCAACTGGGTCCAGTTGTCCAGGGACTTTTTAGGGCAGAGGGCTGGAGCTCAGTCAGGGGTTGGGCTGAAGCCCTGCCAGTTTCCCTTGGTCCTACCTCTGCCCCACTCAGACCATGTTCACCCATGGCCCCAGTGGGCCTGCCCTTGCCCCAGTGCCTTCTGCCTGGGATTCCTGGCAAGCTTCTGGCAACCTCAGCATCGTCTTCCTGGTTCCCGGCAGCCTGGCCTCAGAACTGCCCCGAGCAAGGCAAAGGGCAGGGCCTGAAGTCACCGTGGCCTGGGATCCAGCCCCTTCTCCCTTGCTTTGTGTTAGTTGCTCATCGTGTTGGTGCCTTTCCTCGTTTTTAACAAAGATCCCTATCTCCCACTTAGAAAGAGAGAGATCAYAGTGTCAGGTGATATTTACCAGGTGTACCTGGCACTGCCCAGGCCAGACTGAAACAGAAAGTCCTGCTGCAGGGAGCCTAGAAGCTGGTGAGGGAGACAGAGCAAACCACTGTGGAAATAGGTTAGATTGTGACAAGTGCCACAGAGAAAAATAACCCAACCCACTGTTTCCTTGAGATTGAGCAAGCCCACACAGCAAATGCCACACTGGGCTGGGGGTAGCTCAGTGATACAGCATGTGCCAGCATGCATGAGGCCCAGGTTTGATCCCCAACACCACAAAAAATAAAAAGAAGGAAGGAAAAGAGGCTGGGGGTGCAGTGCAGTGGGAGAGCTCTTGCCTRTCCTTTGCAAGGCCCTGGGTTTCATCCCCAGCACCAGGAAAAAAGAAAAAATGCCACCCATGGGTGCTGCTTATAAAGCATGTCACCCAGTCTGAATGGACAGAATGTCCAAGTAAGTTGCCAGATGAGGAAGCCGGACTCATCCAGGATCACCTGCCAAGTGACTGGGTCACATCCCATTGTCACAGTCACTAGGCTTAACTGCTTCCGAAGGCCCCAGTCTGTCCATCTGTTTGCAGCCCCCTCTCGAGCTCCCATCCCCCCCACTTTGGCCCCAATCTTCACTTTTTCCCTTCCCTCAGGTTTGTTCTAAGCACCTACTATGTGCTGGGCCCCATGACAGGCCCTGGGGCCACCCCCTGTACTCATGGGGATGACAGTCCAGGGCAGAGACAAAGAGGACTTAGCTACAGCCAGACCGAGTGATGCCGGGCCTCAGGGCCTCTGATTTGCACAGGTTCCTTCAAGGCCTTGTCCCTAATTTTGTATAAGTAACTTCATACTCTTCTTCCTAAAGAGCCAAACCCCATACCTTATAAGCTTCATGGCTCCATCAAAGCTGATTCTGTTCTGGGAAAGACATACAACAAACATGTCMACAAATAAAGACTCGCCAGGTACAGTGGTGCATGCCTGTAATCCCAGCTACTCACGAGGCTGACACAGGAGAATCATAAGTTTAATGACATCCTGTCTCACAAAATATAAAAAGGGCAGGGCACATGTGAGGCCCTGGCTTCAATCTCCCAGTACAGCAAAAAATAAATGTRTAATTGCAAAATGTGCAAAATGCCGGGAAAGAAGAACTAAACATTGCGGGGTACACATTAGATGTGGAGAAGTCAGCACCTCATGCTGAGGCCTAAGGGGTGAAAAAGAGCCGGTGGCCAGGAGCATGTGGAATAACGTGGGTAGTGCCTCTCGGAGCCTGTTTCCCCATATGTGAGGTGGGGACGGCAGTCAGCAGGGTGGGCGATGAAGCGGGTAGTAGCAGATAGAGGGTGTCTAGCACGTGAACACCACTCAGTAGGACCTGAGGCTCAGGCCCCTAGCCGAGCTTGGCACTGCCCTTAATTGGCTTTTGTCCTCCTAGGAGGGACAGGCAGGACTGGCCACCTCCTTCCCCCCCACCCAACAGCTGGGGACGCCTGTGCCAGGGCCAGCCGAGGGGGCGGGACCTGGGATCACTGGGCCTTTGGCTCTGTGAATCCCCTTAGGGTAAAGGGAGGGCAGGCTCGCTGGGTGAGAGGGGACACTGTGTTCAAGACTGAGACTGAGATTCCTCGGCCCTGAGGGAGAAGAGGGCTGGGGGCCTGGACTCCTAGGTCCTAAGGCAGAGGAACCTGGGGCAAGTATTCCCAGTGGAGTGGGCCGGGAGTGGGCAGGAGGGGCAGAGAGGCAGACTCTATGCTCTGTTTATAGCACGTGGCTCTCACTGTCCTTTCTGAGTGGGAGGTGGAGTAGATGGCCACTCCCTGGGCAAGCTGGTCCCTCCCCTGGTTTATCACCCCAGGCTGCTACTGGCACTAGCCACAGATCAGCAGCCCCAGATCCGGGGAGCTCCAGCTCCATTCAGGCCTGGGAGGGGTGAGTGCATGGTCAGTTAAGATACAGGAATGGCTGCTGCCCAATTTCAGGGCCTGGATGGGAGAGGAGAGCCTTCCTTTAGGGGACCAAGGGACCATAAACCCAGAGCAAGGGACTATAAACCCAGAGCAAGGGACCATAAACCCAGAGCCAGGCAGGATACGGGCCTTGTCTTCAGGCAGATGGTGGCAGCCCCACCAGTGGGGTAAAAGCAGCTTATCCAGGGCCTGGGTGTTAGGCCATCCAAAAAACAGTGCCTGGATTGAACACAGATCCTGGAGGACCCTGAAGCGTAGGGAGTCAGGGCAAGATTTTGAGGGTCAGAGTTAGAGGTCCAGCTTCTAGAGTCTTGGGTGTGAGCTGGGCCTAAGTAGCAGTTCTGGACTGGGTTYAAATTGACTCAGCCACTCTGCACCATCTAGTCCTAACTTAACCCCTCTGAGCTGAAGGTCAATGGCAGTGATGAATACTTCTGTCCCAGGCAAGGGAGCAGAGCCAGCCACACAATCTAAGACAAGCTGATGGGACTGAAGGCAGGGGACCCAGATTGGGGAGGAATGACATTGAGCTTTGGGGATTCTGCAGAGGAACAGGGAAAGAGCTAGAGTTTGGAGGGGTTTCCACAACCAGACCTGAGGGACAGGAGAGAGTCCTCTGTGAAATAAGGCTGGAATTATGAATTCCTGATTCAGAAGGGGAGCAGTGTCTAGGAAATGGGCACAGGTGGGCAGGGGGCTGAACACTCCCAAATATTGTTGGAGGGAAGGGCCTATAGGCGGTACCTGGAGCCAAGTAGGAAAGATGGGATGGGGCCTGGACTCCTGGGTCTTGGGAGACTGGCTAAACATCCAGACTTGGAACCAATGAGGCATCTGGGCCCCAGGACAGTAAACAGAGACAGGTTCCTAAAGTCTTGAATTCCTGGAAGGGAAGAGGAGGAGGCCACTCCCTGGGCAAGCTGGTTCCTCCCCTGGTTTATCACCTCTTCATAGGAAAGATGAAGAACCAGGGAATCAGATTCTTGTGGGCTCAGGAGAAAGTCTGAACCTAGGTCCAAGAGAAAAGGGAAAGCAGACCTGAGTCCCAAATGGGAGAGAGCAGGGACTTCTGGGTCCTAGAGAGAAGGGGTCTGGACTCTGGGGTCGAAGGAAAAGAAGACAGGGCTCAAAGTCCTGGATTCTGAGAAAGGAGAAAGGCACTGGGGACTTGGACTTATGGGTCCTAAGGAAGGAAGGGGAGGAAGCTCCCAGATGACTCCTGAATCCTGGAGATAAGGGATTAACGTCTTGGGCCTAACAGAGGAGGGACCTGGGGTCCTGGGCCCCTGGGTCTGAAGGAAGAGAGGGCTGGGGTCTGACACCCATGTCTGGAGGGGAAGRGGGCTGGGATCAAACACCTGAGCCTGAGGGAGGAGGGACAGGGCCTAGACTTCTGGGCCCAGCCAACAAGGGATGACCCAGCCAGCCTTATAGGCTCCCCACCTGCCCACAGCCTCACGGATCCTACAAAGCATGGACCTGCGGACGATGACACAGTCGCTGGTGACTCTGGCAGAGGATAACATGGCCTTCTTCTCAAGCCAGGGCCCCGGGGAGACTGCCCGGCGGCTTTCCAACGTCTTTGCAGGTGTGCGGGAGCAGGCGCTGGGGCTGGAGCCAGCCCTGGGCAGCCTGCTCAGTGTGGCACACCTCTTTGACCTGGACCCAGAGACGCCGGCCAATGGGTACCGCAGCCTGGTGCACACGGCCCGCTGCTGCCTAGCACACCTGCTACACAAGTCCCGCTACGTGGCTTCCAACCGCCGCAGCATCTTCTTCCGCACCAGCCACAACCTGGCCGAACTGGAGGCCTACCTGGCTGCCCTCACCCAGCTCCGAGCTCTGGCCTACTATGCCCAGCGTCTACTGGCTACCAACCGGCCAGGGGGACTCTTCTTTGAGGGTGATGAGGGACTCACCGCTGACTTCTTGCGCGAGTATGTCACACTGCATAAAGGCTGTTTCTATGGCCGCTGCTTGGGCTTCCAGGTGAGTCTCCTGCCCCTGTAGGCCCACAGTGAAAGCACTGGTGGCCCCTGCCCTGGCCCAATAGTGGAATGGAATAACCACCATGGTCAGTATTGGATTGCAAAACCAGCAGAAAAGGGAAGTTGGCTCGGAGCTGGACCAGGGGTCTCAAACTCATGGTCCTGGACCTAATCCACCAAGTTAAAGAAATCTTTAACTTGCAGAGCTGTGGGTGTGGGTGTTTTGGGGGGAGAGGGTACTAAGGGTCAAACCCAGGGTCTTGTGCGTGCCAGGCCAGCACTCTACCACTGAATGGCCTTCCAGGCCCCCTGCATGATTTTTCCACCAGGATCCACCCTACTCTTGTCTTACACTCAGGAAATTCATTGCACTTTTTTTTTTTTTGTACCAGGGATTGAACCCAGGGGTGCTTAACCACTGAGCCTCCACATCCCCAGCCCCTTTTTTATATTTATGTATTTATTTAGAGGCGGTGTCTCTCTGAGTTGCTCAGGACCTCGCCAAGTTGCTAAGGCTAGCTTTGAACTCATGATCCTCCTGCCTTGACCTCCCTAGCCTCTGTCTTTTGCTCTTTTATCTTACCTGTCTGGCCTCTGGAGTCATTTAAGTTTTAAGATCCCTAGGAGGGTGGTCAGTTTTGTTCTCAAAGGCTTGTTCTGCATGGGGAGCCCCCTTGAGTCCTCCTCATGGGAGTTCTGGGAGGGAGGGAAGGTGCCAGCCTATAGCTTCCAGACTGGACCCTGAGCTTTTTCACTGACTTAAGTCGCTGTAGAATCGCAGATTTTCATGTCGCCCTCAGGGGAGGACTGATGAGTCCATCTGAGTTGATATCAGTGAAGAAGACCTGGTTTTGGCCTCTTTCCTCCCTGAACTGGGCATGACCTTACCTGTAGACCTTCTCCTACACCCAAACCACCCTGAGAGATTCAGCTTACCAGCACACAGAAAACAAGGCAGCCCAAGGGCCTTCAGATTTCTGTAAAAATGTTTTAAGGACTTGGACAAKTGGGGGACCATGGGGCACCAGGCTCAGGACAGAGGCCCAAACTTGCCTGTTTGGGGTCCTGTGCAGTCCATCTCCCCCTCCCCACCCTTTGGCTGCATCAGGGAACCCCAGCAGTAGAGCTGTGTGACCCTGTAGTCCTTCCCACCTTCTCTGGGCCTCCCCCAACCCCAGTGGTCTCTCAGCCATCCCACCCCACCCTACCACTCCAGGCTTCCTGCAAGACCACCTGTCCTCAGCATCCAGTCCAGGCATTACTGGAAACCATCCTGCATCCTAGCTAAGCCCACAAACACTGATCAGCCCATCAGGGCCAGCCAGCTCCACCCCGTGTCCTGGCCATGACACTGGAGTCACGAGAAAGAGATTCYGGCCGCCTAAACCAGTATCCCAACCACAATGGCCAGGCACCCTCCATCCCCATGCCCTCTGGCCTGTTGGGCCCCTGGCCAGGGCCAGGGCCAGCTGACAGCTTCTGTGTGAGGCCCAACTTCACTGTAGTGCAGAAAAGCATCTGCCTTCTAATATGTCAGCCCCCAAGAGGGCAGAGGCCTCCCCATCATTGTCACTGCCCAGTCCCTGCTCCAGCCCAATGTGTAGCCACCTAGGACCTTGACCGGCATTTGCTGAATGAACGGAAAAGCCCCACTAGCCCCTGAGGCTTTATTTCCTTGGATGCTGTCCCTGTTGTTCCTAACTGCCTCCTGTCCCCTCCCCAAGACTCCCACTACATCCCCCACTCCTTACAGCAGCCATCTGTCCATCTCTAGGCCTCGGTTTCCCCATCTGGCAATCTTTTTCGATTTTTTAAGTAGTGGGGATTGAGCCCAAAGGCGCTTTACCATTGGGCTTCATCCSCAGTCCTTTTTATTTTTTATTTTGAGACAGGGTCTCACTAAGAAACTGAGGCTGGTCTTGAACTTGCAATCCTCTTGCCTTAGCCTCCCAGGTTGCAGGAATTCCTCAACGTAGGCCCTCCCTGAATCTCTGACCTCCCTGCTCCTCTCCCTAGGCTGGCTCTGGTCGGGCCATACTGGCCCCCTGGCTTTCACTTGCCACACCCTCTGCGGGGAGTACCCACCCCTCGTTCAGATCTGCCCTGCAAGACCTGACCAAGCAGCCTGACCCCAAGTGACTTCATCACTGTGGCCCTCCCACCTACTGTCTTTTCCTTCAAAGCATTAGTTGTCCTTGACATCCTATGGCATCCTTCTTCTGTTTATCACCTCTCTTTCCTTAGAGAATACCAGCTCCATGAAAGGGCCCAGACCACTCCCAGCACCCAGGAGTTCAGGAAATGCTGACTGAATGGATGTGTCTCTCCGACACCTCTCTACCCCTCACTGCTGCCCTGTTCTTGTTCCCTTCTTGGGTGGATGGGTGACAGAAGTGTCTCTCCACAGTTCACACCTTCCATTCGGCCATTCCTGCAGACCATCTCCATTGGGCTGGTGTCCTTCGGGGAACACTACAAACGTAATGAGAGTGGTCTCGGTGAGTGCCAGCTGGGTCCTGCCCATGGCCTCTCTTCCTGTCCCTCTTTCCTAGCCCCTGCATAGCAACCTGACCCACAGGGCTCCCTGACATGACTTTGACCCCCAGGTGTGACAGCCAGCTCCCTTTTCACCAGTGGCCGCTTTGCCATTGACCCAGAGCTGCGTGGGGCCGAGTTTGAGCGGATCACACAGAACCTGGATGTGCACTTCTGGAAAGCCTTCTGGAATATCACTGAGATCGAGGTGCTGTCGGTGAGCATAGGGCCAGGCGAGGATGGGACCAGTTACAGATGGGACACTGAGGCCCAGAGACCCATCCAAAGCCACAGAAGGTCACTACAGGGCCCCAGGCCCAGGGATAACACATGAGGAGAAAGACAAACTAGGAAGGGAGGTGTGTGGGGCACCCCTGCAGCAGCCCCTCTGCAGCACCCCTTCTGTTCCCTCCCTCCAGTCTCTGGCCAACATGGCATCAGCCACCGTGAGGGTAAGCCGCCTGATCAGCCTGCCGCCTGAGGCCTTTGAGATGCCACTGACCTCTGACCCCAAGCTCACAGTCACCATCTCACCTCCTTTGGCCCACACAGGCCCTGGGCCTGTCCTCATCAGGCTCATCTCCTATGACCTTCGGGAAGGACAGGTAGGGCCCTGACCTCAGTCAGGAGCAGAGACAGCGCCCAGCCCGGGGTGCCCTCCAGCCTCTAGCTGGGTTCCTGCCCCATCCTGTTTCCCTAAGCATGCCTCTTGGAAGGATAAGACCCAAACAGCCCCACCACCTCCTCCCTTCCTACCCCCAGGACAGTGAGGAGCTCAACAGCATGATGAAGTCTGAGGGCCCTCGGATCCTGGAGCTTCGGCCTCGGCCCCAGCAGACATCGCGCTCAAGGTCCTTGGTAGTGCACTTCCACGGTGGTGGCTTCGTGGCCCAGACCTCCAAATCGCATGAGCCCTACCTCAAGAGCTGGGCTCAGGAGCTGGGTGCTCCCATTATCTCCATCGACTACTCCCTGGCCCCCGAGGCCCCCTTCCCCCGTGCGCTGGAGGAGTGCTTCTTTGCCTACTGCTGGGCTGTCAAGCACTGTGCCCTCCTCGGTGAGCCCCGGCCCCCCACTGCCAAGGTCCCTGCTTCAACCCCCCAGCCCACTTTCCACCTCAGCCACTTCATCTCTGCCTCCTGTTCCTGAGTCTCCTCGGCCTCCCCCTCGGCCAGACTCCATCCTGCCTCTTTCTCCCCTGGCTGCCCCAGCCCCTGCGCCCCTGCTCCCCTGCCCGGCCAGCCTCCTGGCCCAGGTGTGCCACCATTCTCCAGCTCTTAGACAAACATCTTGGGAGGACAGTAAGGCACAGAGCAGGCTGTGGTGATGCTGTAAGCCTAAACTCATCTTCAGTTTCCCAGACTCTAAAGCCCCCTCCATCCGGAAATAGACTGAGCTTCCCTTTCCCACCACCAGCCCTTCCACCCCCCAACCTCCCTAGTCTCCCAGAATGATCTCCTCAGCTCCTGTTCCCAGTCTTCCTAACCCTCTGGTAGATCCCTACCTCCGTTTGCCAATCTTTAATAACAGCAGCCCCCTAGACCTTGGGAAAGCCCACACCCCATCTCCAAGGGCCCAGTTCTCCTAGCCCAGGTCCCACTCCCCAGTCCCTTTCACTGCCCTGCCAGGCTGTGACCAAATCCCCCCCTCCCCCTCAACTAGGCTCTACAGGGGAGCGGATATGCCTTGCAGGAGACAGTGCAGGTGGGAATCTCTGCTTTACTGTGGCCCTACGAGCAGCAGCCTATGGAGTACGGGTGCCAGATGGCATCATGGCAGCCTACCCAGCCACAATGCTGCAATCCGCTGCCTCTCCCTCCCGCCTTCTGAGCCTCATGGACCCACTGCTGCCCCTCAGTGTGCTCTCCAAGTGTGTCAGTGCCTATGCAGGTGAGGCTCACCCCCTTCGGCAGGGGAGTCAGAGTTCAGGGACACCTGGGTCCCACAGGGCCAGGGGCAGGGGCCCAGTCTTCAAGCCTGAGGAAGGAGGGACTGGGCAGGGGAATCCTTGCTCCTTTATAAGCAATGAGACGTTCTTGAGGCCCTTAGTGTACACTTGCCTGGAGTTTTGGATGTTGGGACTAGGTCTAGAAAGAGGAGAACAACTTAGCCCCCCAACATACCCTCTGCAGGTGCAGAGACAGAGGAACACCCCAACTCAGATGAGAAGGCACTGGGCATGATGGGACTGGTGCGACGGGACACATCCCTGCTCCTCAGAGACCTCCGCCTGGGYGCCTCCTCATGGCTCAATTCCTTCCTGGAGTTTAGTGGGCAAAAGTCCCAGAAGACCTCAGCGCCCACAGTAGGTGAGTGGTGGCCTCCCCCCATGGACCCAGCCAGGTGGCCCTCAGGGATACCGTAGCACAGCAGAAGTCCCAGGGAAGGGAAGGGGCCGAGCCCTGGAGCACATGGGGAAGCAGAGACCACCTTCCCCGGCTGGCTCTTCCCAGTATTCATCTCTRGCCCTATCAAAAAACCCTGAATTCAGCTGAGGTTATAGCTCAGTGTTAGAACGCTTGTCTAGCATGTGTAAGGCACTGGGTTCAATTCTCAGCACTACATGTAAATAAATAAAATAAAGGTCCATTGACAACTAAATATACGAAAAAAAAAAAAAAAAAAAAGGCTTGACTTTCTATGCCAATCCACATTCTGGAAATTCCAGGACTTTTGGTCATCTAAGCCATCTCAGAGTCCCAGGAATTGCTTTTCAAACCAAACCCTGGGAAATTACTCCTGAAGATATGCCATTTGTCCTGATGTTCAACAAGAACTCCACCTGAAGAACCAAAAAAATTTTAAAATAATTTTCATTTATTTTCCTAAAAAAAAAAAAAAAACTACTTGAGTCCTCTGGGCCCTTAGGTTGGGGGTACACCCTTCTCAGTTCTTTCCATGGATTTCTGACATACACACATAGCTTGTAACCCGCCAGCAGCTGGCCTAGGAGCTAGGGTGGGTAAATCCACAGATGGGACAAACCTTGGGTGGGAACTGGAAAGTCCCAGCCCTGTCTGGGCAGGTGGCAGGACCCTCAGGCAGCCAAAAATTACTTCTATCCCAGGGATCCATTTTTTCCCCACCATAATATTTGAAGGATTTTTAAAGCACAACCATCTATAGGAAATCCACAGTGTTCTCTGAATAATAGGAATTGCACCTTCAAAACTAGATGCATTGGGCTGGGGATACAGCTCAGTTGGTAGAGTGCTTGCCTCACATGCACAAGGCCCTGGGTTCAATCCCAGCACTGCCAAAAAAAAAAAAAAGGGGGGGGGGGATGCACTTCCTATTATGCAAAAAATCATTCCAATCAGGTGCAGTGGTACACACCTGTAATCCAGGTAACTAGGGAGGCTAAGGCAGGAGAACTTCAAGTCAAGGCTAGCCTCAGCAACTTAGCAAGACCCTGTCTCAAAATAAAAAAAAAAAGATGAGAATGTCCCTGGGTTCAATCCCCAGTACTACCCTACCCTTGCAAAAAAAAAAAAAAAAAAAAAAAATCATTCCAATTAAGTGTTTTATTTTAATGTTTTTAATTTTGGGATGTTCAGATAGATGAAATATATATACATAAAAACAATTAAAATGGGATTGAAATGGAGGCATGTTACCGTTGATCACTGGGATTTTCCCTATAGGACGGAGGTGAGAAGTGTAGCCCCTGGAGGTGCACACTGCATTCTAGCTCCCTATTCTACCAGTTGCTGGGTAGCATGGGCAAGTAACAGTATCTGAGTCTTGCTTTGCTCCTCTGTAAAATGGATACAGTAAGAGGACCTGCCTCATGTGTCACTGTGAGGACTGTATGCATCCATTTGTGTCCAATGCCTAGCATAGTACCTGGCATGCAGTAGAAGATGCTGCATCCTATGCCCTGTATTAGCCGTCCTGTTCCAGAGGGTCAGAGAGCACTCAACTGGTTATTCTCACACTGCCTTGTGTATTGCTCCATTGATTGATACATAAGCATAAAAACTGAAATGTAGGGTCCTGGGCCTAATGATAAGCATCGTTTTAAAATTAATTTGAGGCCAAGGTGGGCACAGCAGGTAGACTGGAAGCATTTGGGTACTTGCTTGCCTGGTCACTCAAAGGGAGAGGATAAAACTGAAAAACCTAAAGGAAAATTTCACAGATCAATATAGCTACCTATGTGGGGTCCCTGGGAATCTAACATACACTCCCGACTCAGGTCCTTGTGAACAGAACCTCCTTTCAAGCCCTATGGATCTGCTCATTATTCTACTCACTTTGATGCATTCACACTTTGGTGTCAAGCAGCCACAAAAAGTTGGCTGAGCCTCCTGCTGTGGTCCAGGAGACAGCTGGAACAGGGCACCAAGCATGGCAATAAAGCCTCATGCTGACAGAATCTCAAAGGGGGTTGTAGTACGTAAGCCTATATAGCTTGCTCCATTGAGTTCTTATATCCTTCCAGCATTATGAGCTAAGGACTGTTTCTGTTTCCTTTGTACAGAGGAAGAAAATGAGGCTCCCAGAGGCAAGATGACTTGTACTTCCCAGTCATTATACACACACCCTACCGCTACAGCATAGCCAGCCCCTCCAAGACCACCCTGTGACTCCCTCTACCCACTTAGAGTTGCAATGTGGGGCACAAGAATCTGGGGAATGTCCTAGGCCTCCACAGCTGGAGAGGCCACTGCCCTTCCCCTGACCTTCCCAATCTGCCACACTAGCTAACAGCCAGGCTTATCTGTGGCCCCATCCAATCCCCTGACCTTGCCCTTCCCACAGAGTCAATGCGACGCAGTGTGTCAGAGGCTGCCCTGGCCCAGCCTGAGGGCCCAGTGGGCACAGACTCCCTCAAGATTCTAACACTGAAGGACTTGAACCTGAAGAGCAGCTCTGAGACATCAGAGACCCCTGAGATGTCGCTGTCTGTGGAGACACTGGGCCCCTCCACACCCTCTGATGTTAACTTCTTTCTGCGGCCTGAGGATGCCAGAGAAGAGGCAGAGGCCAAAGAAGGGCTAAGCGCCAAGGACGGTAGCTCCCGGGTGAGCAATGCCTTCCCCGAGGGTTTCCTCCCACGGCGCACAAGCCAGGGTGCCACCCAAATGCCCCTTTACTCATCACCCATTGTCAAGAACCCCTTCATGTCGCCTCTGCTGGCACCTGACAATATGCTGAAGACCCTGCCACCTGTGCACATCGTGGTGAGCCAAGGATTGGGACGGTGCAGCCAGGCCCGGGTGGGGTGAGGCAGGGCTGGATGCAGGAGCCCCAGGAGGAGCAGTGGAGAATGGGAACAAGGTAGTTAGCAGGCAGAGGAGAAAGGTGTGCCACCAGGAGAGGACAGTGCCTGGGGCCCCAGAAAGGTGGACAGTGGGAATCCAGCTGTCCTTCCCATTTGCAATTTTGCGGAACTCCAAGAGCTTGGGCAGGGGGCTTAGGGAGAAAAGCTGGGTCTCTGGGTGGGCGGGGAAGGGGAGACAGGGCAAGGGCCAGGGAGTGCAGTGACACCCTCTCACCCTTCCTTCAACTCCACCTGTTCCCTCCATTCTCTCCCGCCCCCCATATCTCTGGCCTCTGTCCAACCCATGTCCGTGTCCACGTGCTCCCTCTCCCTTCTCCGTTGTCCAACCCAACGTCCACCGTCTGTCGGCCCCCACGTGCGTCCCACAGGCGTGCGCCCTGGACCCCATGCTGGACGACTCGGTCATGTTCGCGAGGCGACTGCGCGCCCTGGGCCAGCCCGTGACGCTGCGTGTGGTGGAAGACCTGCCGCACGGCTTCCTGAGCCTGGCTTCGCTGTGCCGCGAGACGCGACAGGCCGCGGAGCTGTGCGTGGAGCGCATCCGCCTCATCCTCACTCCACCAGCCGCCGCCGCAGCCGCCGCGCCGCCGCCACTCTGAGCCCGACCAGGCCGCGCGGGGAGATGGGGCTGCGGGACGACACTAAAGACCTTGTTCCCACCTGCACCGGCCTCCGTGGTGAATGCGGTGAATGCGCTCAGGGACCAGCCTAGGGGGCCCTTGCGGGGCTCCAGACTCTTCCGGCCCCAGGCCGGGTGGGCGGGGGTGGGCTGTGCCTTAAGACGGGGACCACAGGGGCGGGGCAGGAGCCGGAAGCTGAGACTCGGCCAGGGGAGGGGCGCACACACACTGGTCACTGACACAGCTGGACCTGCACTCCACTACTGCCGTCTGCTGCTGCTGGTCGGTTCTTTTTTTCTAAATAAAAATATTTAATTACCTTGGCCTCTCTCAAGTAGGCGGGTGGTTGCCCAGTAGGGGGCAGCATCGGACTCAGCTGGGGGTAACCAAGAAACCTGGAGGGTGTGGGGGTTTTGTTTATTGGAGGAGGAGATTCCTACAAACACGAGGCCCCTGGGCGTTAAGTCAGGTAGAACGCCTAGAGACCCTGGGTTCCCAGAGCCTCCCCTTGCAGACCCTCAGTGAGATGGACTCTTCCAGATCAGTGAAAGGCTACTCCCTTTCCAATCCCAGAGTGGGCATCCATCAAGGAAAAAAATACATAAACCGCTTGACCCAGAGATGCCAGTGGCCCAAACTCCCCACAGAACTGGAGCAAAGTTGGCAGGAAACCAGAAACAAACTGGTCACCCAAAATACTGGAAATGGAAGCTCTGCCCAGTTGGACAGTCCCTCCCTCAACCAATTCTAGAGGCTTTACCCCTTGCCGGGCCCCAGGTTTGGAGTGGAGATGATTTATACCCAGGAAATGTCCTCAAGAGGCTTTCAATCCTGAATTCAAGGAGGGTGAAGGGGCAGACAGGATATTACAGCCCCTAGGGGTTCTGTGTGGTCAGGAAGGGTTTCACAAGAGAAGGTGATCAGAGCTTGGCCTTAAAGCATGAGCACAAATGAGCTAGGCAGAGAAGTATGCTAGGCTGTCAAAGGCTGGTGGGCAGTGAYCAGGGTCTCCATTTGGCCAGATCAGGTGCAAAATGGGGAAGGAGAGGCTTGGAGTGGCCAGCAGGGGCAGGTCCTGAAGAGCCTGGAGTGAAGTTGAACCACAGCTAGAGGGCAATGGGCAGCCACAGAAGCACCCTAGGGAAGAAAGGGCCAGGATCAGTTCCAGCACAGGAAGAGCTTGCTGGGGCATTAGGGGATGGACTGAAAGCAAGACTGGACCCCTGGAGGCAGAGGAGGAGCTTGGGGATGAGGTAGGGCAAGACCTGAGCTGGAACAGGGACYACAAGGGTAGGGAGTATAGGCAGAACATCCCAGAGCCATAACTGAGGTTGGACAATTAGGATTTATTGAGGGTATGGACAAAGTTACAGGGGAGCAAGGATGAAGGTCTGGCCAGGGGGAGCAGGAGGACAGTGAGCTGTCTCTTCATTGGGAGGAGGCTCAGTGTATATATGTGAAGGGGGTGATGCTGAGAGCTGGTGTGGACACAGATGGAAGGTTTCTTTGAGACCCTGTAGAGGGGCATCCAGGAAACAGGAGGAGAGCAGTGTGGGCACTACCTTTGACTGGGACCTTTCTAGGAAGAGTAGGCACTGTGCCAAGTAAAGAGGTCGGCAGGGGAGGGAAGTGCTGGTGGGTTGAGGAGCAGCTGGAGAGGAAGGAAGGAAGCCAGGAAAGAGGATGTAAAGCAAAGGGAGTTTCAGGCAGGAGGGAGTGTTCTATGACAGAGGAGGATTGAAATGTTATCCTCAGACCTCAACAATGAGCAGGTGAACTTGGRCACCTTGGGCAGAACCCTTGCAGGGCCATGGGACATGGGCAGCCAGATACGGTAAGTTGAAGAGGAAATAGAAGAAAAGGAATTGGGCCAGTAGGTACCACAAGTCTTTGGCAGCAAAAGGGATAAGAGAGAATTCACAGAAGTTTGATGCAGGGTTGTGACATTTAGAGATGATGGAACATGCTCTAATACYGCCAGGAACAGAAGATGAAGAAGCACAAGAAAGCAATTTCCTGCAGGGCACGGTGGTGCGCACCTGTAATCCCAGCAGCTCGGGAGGCTGAGACAGGGGGATCCCATGTTCAAAGTCAGCCTCAGCAACTTAGCAAGGCCCTAAGCAACTTAGTGAGACCCTGTCTAAAAAAAAAAAAAAAAA